ATGAGAAATATGTAGCTATATCTTGAATAACCATCTATGAACGTTATGAAATATTGTTGACCATTCCAAGAAGCCATAGAGAACGGTCCATAAATATCTGTATGAATGAGTTCTAATACGTCCATAGCTCTACTGGCACCTAATCTCTTAATATTTGTATATTTTCCCTTGATACAATGAACACATCTATCAAAATCTAAAAAATCAAAGGGAGCTAGAATTCCATCTGACACAAGTCTCTTAGTTCTCCTTTGGGAGACATGACCTAATCTTTTGTGCCATAAAGAAGCAGAATCCTCCTTAGTTAATTTTTTCTTTATGCCTCTTATACCAACATGTAAGGATTCATTATAAGAAGCAATTGTATCAAGCAAATAAAAATTATCATGCACTGATAAAGAACTAGAACCAACCAGATTTGAATTAAGAAAAATACTAAATTTTCTATTTTCAAATAAACGTGAATAACCAAATTTGTCTAATACAAAAATAGAAATCACATTCCATCTAAATGACAATACAATAAAAGTCTATTTTAAATCCAAATAAAATCAAGTCCTTAACGACAATCTAAATTTGCTAATTGTTTCCACCTCGACTGGTTTGCCATCACTCACATAAATTAATTTGGCACCATCACTTGGCTTGCAGCAATGGAGGCAACCCTGCATAGACACACTGATGTTAGTGGTGATACCAGAATCTATCCACTAATGTATATTGATACAAAAATTAAATTAACTTTAGAACAAACAAAATTAAGAAGCATACATTTCTTTGGGCGCCACACATGATAGTTAGCGCATTGCTTCTTCTGGTGTTCCAGAGCTTTACAGAAGAAACAAACATTTTCCGTCTGAGTCTTTTGTTGCTTCTTCTATTGTACTGGAATCACAACAGATTTACATGTTTGCTTTTTCTTGTTCTTCTTATTCTTCTTATTCTTTGAGATCATTGCTAAATGAACACTCTTTGTCCTTAAAATGTTAAATGAGTTCATTCAAATTCCAAGATTTTTGTTAACAGTTGTATGTCACCTTAAAATGATTAAACTGTGGTAGAAGAGAAATCAAAACAAAGTATACAAGTACTTCTTATGACAATTCCACTCCAAGTGCTTTGAGTTTTACATGCACATGTGACATCTCTATTATGTGTTTTTTAATGTTTTCATTTTCCTTATACCTCATGGAAACAAGAGTCGATAAAAGTGTACATGCTTCAGTCTTATCACTTCTGGCGAAACGTTGTTTTAGAGAATGAAGAAAATCTCTACCTGTTGTGATCTCGTCAAACATAGTATCTCGAAAAACCTTTGGAATGACCTGTTCCATAACCAACATACTCATACGGTTTGACCTATCCCATCTTTCAAACTCCTTCTTTTCCTCAGGGGTACTATCAAGAGTAATCATATCAGATTGATCAACCCGTAAAGCCTAATCCAGATCCATAACTCCAAGCACAAGTCGAACACTATTCTTCCATGACTTGAAATTTGTGTTGTTCAAAATTGGGATTGAATTAACATTTGCGGTGATACTTCAAGTAAAAAAGGAAGTTGAACAGAGAACATACAAAAATAAATAAATTAATAATCACATAAAACTATAAATCATAAAATTTAATAATAAATTTTAAATAAAGGTATATTCCCATCTCAAGATAGCGAGTATTTCATTAACACTTTATCTTTGGACAGAATATTAACTTGTAAGTGGTACCTTGTAACAATAATTAAATACAAACAGTAAAAATACATCAAACAATAATCCTTCTTTTGGGCTGATTTAAAGTTTACATGTAATACTAAATAACTCTCACATATTCAGTACCACAAAAATGAAATACAATAATGTTAAATATTAACTTTCCTTTGAACCAATTAATATTCACATAAATTACACTCATACAACTGCCTACATTATGAAATAAATAAATTATCCATAAGAGATGTCACTTTGGTGACATTTATGTAAATTAAGTTATTTCAATATGTATATTCATATATTAATATTAAAATTCAAAATTAAAATCAAATTTAAAATGAATTAGAAAGAAAATCAATCATAAAATGACAAAAATACTCTTTAAATTTTTTTTTTTGTCAAACATTGACCGGGTTGGGTCAACACTAGTTGAGTCCAGGCCGGGTTGAGTCTGGACCAGGTTGGCCCAGCCCAAACGAGCTTGGGTTTTGGGCCAGCCTATTGGACCTTTTCTTCTCTTCTTGTGGACCAAGCCCACCTAATTATAATTATTAAAACTTAAACTTAAATAACTCATTAAGCCCAAAACACTTACTTTTTTAATTTTAAACAGAAATTTAAATAGTAAATTAAATTTATGCAATCTCTAATGGCGACTTTTAAATGTTTTTAAACTAAATTAATTTAGCCATTACGGACTAAATTTCGCAACCGTTTCGGTTGCCGAATAGTTATAAACCGCCCTCATGTTCGGTCGTTGCTCTATTTTTTTTTTGTTTCATATATATATATATATATATATATATATACATATATACTTAAAATATACATATACATATACAATACTTAATTTTTTAATATATATTTCTTAATTTTCTGCATATATATATATATATATTTTCAACTAAACAAAAACGAATCCAAACTCTAAAATTTTGAATTTAAAATCTAAAATTTAAAATTACATAACAAAAAACAAAAAACTTTCTCAAAAATTTAATACGAAAAATGACTCTAATACTAATTATTAGAACAAAATTTTTTTTCAAATCCGTAGATCTGTAAAAATTAAACATATATCATCGTACTGAATTAAAGATAAATATAATCGAAAGTGTACCTGAATTTATCACAGAAGATTTGTTTACATCTGGTGGCAGGATCTTCCGAATCAATATGACGTCTTGAAATTAGTTTTTTCTTATGATAAAATTCTAGAAAAATAAAAATGAAAGCCTTATAATTCGGGGACTATAACCGCCTGTTATATTAATTAAATTCTGTAATTTTCATTTCATTTATCATAAAATAATAATATTATAAAAATAATATCTGCACATTACAAGTCTATAGTTAAACCCGATGCATTAACGCCAAATATTGTTTAATCATATTTGATCATATTTAAACAAGCTCATTAAATTGATAGTTTGATACGCATACTAAGATCCACATTATGCCTATACATTAGGAAAATCCAACATGCATGACTTCCATCTTGGTCAATTATTATAGAAATATCCTTTAATGTTTGATTTCTCCCCCCTAAAGAATGGATTTTTCTGTTTAATTATCATTTTATCAACCTATATAATTTCTTTATATATAACTTCCCTCTCGGTTAATCATAATGTATAATTAAAAATAATAAATTAAAGAAAGTATTAAGAACGCTGAAAACATTATCTTCAAATAAACATACTCCAAAACCATAAATCCATAAATGCTACATCCTTATAAAAGATTACCACAAAAGAAAACTATCATAAATATAACTAATGATTGAGAGAAAAAAAAAAAAAAAGACATAGCCAACATGTTGAAAGCTTCACTAAAGGCTTCTTTCTCTTCCAGCGTTAAGATTTAGATAAGTTTCTCCCTCTCAGAAACTTACTTTTTTTTTCTCTCAAACTTCTAAAAGATAACTCTTTTAAAGGCTGCTCTCTTTTCACGCTCCTCTTCTGGCTCTATTTAAAATGAGGATACTAAGATTTAACTTAAAATAAGCATTTCTCAAATAAAAATCAATTAATTATGGCATGCATATTAATATTAATATTAATTATATATTATGTGTTTGGTCTAAATATTAGACTAATAAAATGATTAATTAAGTTATAAAATCATTGAAGTTTGCAATGTGTTAAGATCTTATATTTTATTTTATTTTTATAATAGACTAAAATAAAACAAAATATGTTACAAAAATAAATAGGTTATACTCCCACACCAAATAAGGTTCTTCTAGAAGTTTGCTTGTATTTATTTTAAATTTTCCTATCAAAAGTGAAGGACAAGATACGTTTTATATTTTTTTTATATCAAAATTTCTATATATTAAAATTTTGTTTTCTTTTCAACTAATAAATTTATTTTTACTAGAAAAACTAATTATCTAATTAAGAGTTTATTATAAAATCAATAGTGGAAAAGTATATCTCTTTAATATATAACTTGTTTTGTATGAAAGAGACTATATTTTTAATGTATATGTATTAACCTCACATTATGCTAATTTAATATTTTTAAACATAAAAATATTAAATTAATTTATACTTAATAGTTATATGTTTATTACCAATTATTTAAATATTTTTTAAAATTGAAATAACAATAATTTAATTAATATTTATATTGAACCAAATAGATAAAATAACTAAATTAAAATAAATATTATAAAATCATTTAAATTATTATAATACATTTTACCAAAAACTGTTACTTAAGTACTTATAATAATTAAATTTTATTATTATGTAAATTTTTCTTGTCATTTAAAAATTTATTATTAATTTTATAACATAATTAAAAAAATACATTACCATATTTTACTGGAAAAATATTTTTATAATATCTTTATTCTGTTTCCTGGCATGTCCATAACAAAACTTGGACCGAACTAAACCATATCCAAACAGGCCCATTTTTGTGCTTAGCTTGTTATAATAAAGCCCATTACCATCATAAAACGCAGCCGTTTTGCCAAGTTTCACATCAATCGCGAACCCAAAAATCGAAGGGTCCTTCTTTCGCTTGTTTGTTTCTCCTCACACACCGGCATATACTCACAAAGCAGCCTCTCGATACTTCTGTTGTTCTCCTGTTTGGTTACCCAGAATCCGGAGGAAATCCTGTGAGAAATGAGCGGGACGGTCAAAAAAGTTGCCGATGTGGCTTTCAAAGCCTCGAAGAACATTGATTGGGAGGGTATGGCTAAACTCCTTGTAACCGATGAGGCTCGCAAAGAGTTCGCCTCTCTCCGGCGAGCCTTTGATGAGGTTAACACCCAGCTACAGACTAAGTTTAGCATGGTATCTTTCTCTCTCTATTTTTTGTAGATCTTTATTTTTCTTATTTTTTGGATTTTCGGTAATCGTTTGTCTAGATCTTGTTATTCGTGGGATAAGGTTTGCGATTGGTGGTGAATCGATGAATGTTTTCCGTGCTTTATTGTGAACGAATCCTTGATTTGCAATTCTAGTATGGTCAATTGAAATGTGAAGTGTTTTATCTGTACTTTTTTTCTTTTTAAGAATCTATTGTTATTGCCAAGTAGAAAATGAAGGAAATGCGTTCGGTGAAACTGGTTTGTTACGAAAGTTTATGGGCAATGTGGTACTAATGATGAACTAATTCTAGACACGAGTTCAACGATTACTTTTTCTTTTGCTGTTTGGTTGACTAGAAAACAGATGGAAAGTCTGGATCTCTGTTAGGACATTTGATGTGGTATAATGACATTGCTTGATCTGACTAATAGCAAGTTGCTATGTTACAGTTAGTCCCTCGCTAGAATTGCTGGACAACTTGATTTTTTATTAGGTTTGAAATAGATTAAACAGTAGGCGATTAAGATTATCAACCCTTTTTTTAGCTGCATAAGTTTTTCCTGCCATGAAAAATCTTTAAGGAGTTCCTTTCTTTCTGTGTATATTTGTTGAGCACAGTTATGCACTGTTAGTTTCCAAATGAATATCAGAGACTTTTGTGTTCCACATTGAAGAGGTAGTTCTATCTTCTCTTTTGCTAGCTTGCTAAAATTAGACTCCTTTTTACTTAATGGTATTTACTTTAAGCAGGAACCTGAGCCCATTGACTGGGAATATTACAGAAAGGGAATTGGCGCTCGTGTGGTGGACATGTACAAAGAGGCTTATGACAGTGAGTTCTATGATCTCATTCTTCTATCAGAAAAGAAAAGAAGTTATATGACTCTCGTTCATGGCTATATAACATTTTATATTTTCTTTGTTATTTTTTGCTGTGTTGTGCTTTATGACCAATATATTGGAGTTAGTGTCAGAGACCTTACCCATGGTCCTGACTGGATTTCGACGAGAGCTAGAGGAGACGAAGGAAGAAACATAAGCAAGAGAGAGAGAAAGAGAGACAGAAGAGAGCCTTAGAGACTTTTGATGTTTAATTTCTGCTTGTTCTTCATTCAAACCCGAGGCCTTTCTATAGGCTGAATTCGGGCTGGAAGGACACACCAGTTTGTTAGGCGCTCCTGTCTGTTACAACTTCTGTATGTAGTTGTTGTTACAACAACCTGCAAGTGGCTGTAGTTTCCGAACAATTCCTTCTTTCTCGATAACTCCCTAGGCAAGTGGTGAAGAGAAAAACTCTATTCTGCCTTGTATAATTTGACCCTTTTGGCCCTGTACAAACTTTTCACAATTTCTCCTCCTATAGTAGACTTTAAGTGGTTTTGTTACAATACTTTCCACAAGTAGTAACCTTGTCCCCAAGGTTGAGATTAGGACATTGTTGTCGGATGTGTTCATTCTTCCCACATACATTCTTCTGTTGTAGTGCCTTCCCACTGGATAAAAACCTGGTCTGCAGGATGATTTCCACGATGGATGGTCTGATGTTTCAAAACATGATGTGGGTGAACACTCACTATGCCTTCTCAAGTTCTGGGGGCGGGGGGTTGTAAGTTTTGTCTAACCACTTAGGTCCTTCACCTTGTTGTGCTGACTCTTGCTTGAATGGTTTCAGTTTGATTAGCATCCAGTTTTGTCCTTTAAAGCTTCTTTCATTGTTTGCTTACTGTTTGATTCTGAATTGGCCTTTTATAAGTTGTTGTTTGATGATTCTGTTAGCCTCTTCCCTTTGGATAGGAACACTTCTACCTAGGGCGAGGCTGAATAACGATCTACAGTGTCTAAAAAATGTGGAGGAGCATATTTGTAGAGTGCTTGGAAGAGTGTCGTCGTAAGACTTGTATGATAGGAAGTGTTATACTACCACACAACAGCATATTCGTAGAGTGCTTGAATTTCTTTCACTTTCACTATCGTTTATTT